CATATTACCAGTAATATCGTTCTGGACGATAAAAACAAAAGTACTTTTGGGGAAACGCGGAGAAGTATCTCCGGTTTAAAAAACATTAGGGTTTGGTAGTTTGGTTTATCTAAGGGTTTAACCGAGGGTATAACATGTCTATCACTAGCCTCTTTAGAGATGCCGTCAACAATAAATTACAATATAGGTAATTAAAAAATATATAAAAAAGTTGAGAAGAAAAAAAAGTTCTTGGTTCTCAAATATGAAAACTTAATTTAGACCTACTAATCACGTAATACATTTGAAGTAACAATAATTGAAAAAACTGAATATTGATATATTGTAGCATGGTTATTGTAAACTGATTTTTTGGCCACCCTGTATAATAGACTAACAAATCAACTTCAATAATAATTCCTTTTCAAACGAACACAATAACAAACAAGTTTTTACGGGATCCATCAGCAGGTACAGAGTCAAAACAACCAAAATATTCACATTATGAATTCCGAATCTCAATAATTATTGTCTATTATGGAAATATTTTTGAAAAAATGTTCGATTTAACATCGATCGATTGTATTCGGTTAAATCTTGTATTTATAAAAATTATTAGGAATATTTGTAAAGAACTGTTTAAAAATGGACCTATCTTCTTCGTCTTGCTGAAGCCAGAAGAACAGACGAAGGTCTCATCATCACATTGAAACCCTACGTGCTTTAGTATACAAAAATGATGACTAGGTTCTCTTATAAGTAAAAAATATCCCTCATAGAATGGATGAAACGCGTCTCTGACAAAGTGGAACAGACATTCTTGGAAGCTTGTAACAAAAAAGCGTCCAAAGAAAGATTTTATAATCGGTGAATTTAATGTGCTAATAAGGGGCAAACAAGAAGAAAATGAGGCATTCATATGTAAATGTAGAACAGGAGAAATTAATTTAAGACCTGACTCTGAAATTTATGGAAGAACAAAATATACATGCAATGCAACTGTAATATCCAGATTAGGAGCCATCTTTGATATACGTGTTTTTTTTTAAAGATTTACCACATTTTTTTTTGGACAGTTATTACATGCATGAACCGAGTCCAATATGACCTGATCGGTGACAATCCAGTACCAGGATCCCAGAACCTTTATAGGCTGCCACATCTGACAGATACACCACAATAACGAAATAGAATTATCGATTACAATAGCGAGAAAAGGGGAAAAGAAGAAGAAACTGTTAGAGAAGACAGTAAGAAGAATAGAAAAAAATCAGATCAAACTAGCAATCATGGCAATACGCCACAGAACAATATGAACCAGAAATAATATTAGAACAAATATTTAAAGAACATATTGGGAAGTAGGACAGCAATAAACCGCACTTATTCGATCGGCGATATTTCGATCTTTCATAAGATCTTTTTAGGCTAAAAATTTAACGCAATAGTATAACCAGAGCACACTAAATTATACTAAGGTTACCAAAGAAAAACACAAAAAGTACAATGCAATAAAAAGTGAAAAAAAAACTACAATTATTAAAAAAAACACAAAAAACAACAATGACCCGACGAGAATTTCCTAAATATAAGTAAGACAAACCCTCTATTGCACGTTTATACAGAGGCATCAAAATAACTAAGAGTGTGCAAGGTAACAAAAAATTAAAAATAATTATAAAGCAATACATAGAAAAAAAAAATGAAACTATTTTAAATCGTACTTGTTTTACAACACAGCACATACCAGAATGACTATCACAGTGGCTTATCAAGGCTTAGGTATTCAAATGGTTTTCAAAAGAATGCAAATAAATAATTTCCGGTGATAGTTGCATTACGCAATTTGTTCCGAATATAAATCATCTAAATATGGAGTTTGACTCTGGTGACGCGACGAGGTTGCTACGGTCGGGAATAATACTCTCGCCCCAAATACTACCGTTCCAAATAAGTCGAACCTCTTTCCTTTTTACTACTATAGTATCGCCACTCGACCCTTTTCTGGTCTCAATGGGAAATCTTGTCTTTTGACACTGTAAAGCCAGAGACTTTTGACATGTCGGTTAAGAGACTTAGAGAAAAAAAAATATCTTTCAAATTTTAATCATCGAAAGATCGAAGCTCTCGCTAGATCTCAATGCCGTGATCTCCTTAATACTTTTTAATTTTCGAGACTGACTTTGTAGGAGGCGTGCCGTGATACTCAACTTATTATAAAGGCTTTCTGTGTAACATTATGTCTGTGTGAAAAATTCCTGCCTAAAAACTTGATTGCAAATATATTATAATATACTTATGCTTATATATTTTTTTTTGGCCTATTGTAATACGCCTATTATTAGCATCTATCTTTTCATTTTATTTACAGGGTGTCCTAGCCGAGAGTGATTTTAAATGCTTATAACTTTTGAACCAGGTGTGCCAGCTACCTGCGGTTTGCGCCATTCGATTTCTCTTGGCCTAAAGTAAAAATTTTTTGATACTTATACAGGGCGAATGAAAAAAATCCGTTTTTCAACATCGAAATTCTCCACTATTTCTAATGGATCACCCTGTACATCACAACTTCAAAAAAAAGATTCATGTTCAAGGTATCCATGTACAAATAGACATCTTCCCTAAAACTTGAAGTTTTAGCCGTGAAAAATCAAAATCGAAATCTTGGTATTTTTGCAAACGCATATTTACAGAGCTTGGAACTTTATGTTTGCCTAATAAAACGTTTATAAAAATTGCATAAAGCTATACAAAATGCTGTATATGCATATGTTAGCCTTTCTACTCCAGGCATTTATGGATCAGTGAATGGTTGAATGAACTGTGTGACATTTCCTGGGGAATCGCTGCAATGACATTACAAATGATCCGTTCAAGATATTCCAGGCTATTTGAGCAAAGGATTCCAGCACCTAAACTTGTAAACACAAAATAACAGTAACTACCTTGTTTCTGACTTTTTTTTTTTGGATGTGGTCAATTAATTAATTCTATTATTCAGTATCGTCTTCGTTATATTGTGTACTCATTGATCCACAACTCTATACCATATTGAACCACCGAGTTCGCTTCAATGTTCCGATATTGTTCAGAAGAAAAAGGGGTTACAGCCTATATAAATATAGAAATATTGTTGACGAGCTCATCCAAATATGAAAAACAGATATGCTCATCGCCCAGCTGAATTAGCAGGTGGCTACTAATACATTCCTCGAATAACATGAAACACAATATTTGCTAAAAATTAATTAAGTCTAGACTGCATTTACATTTGTCAACAATCAACTTCAACATAGGTAGGTATTACTCATTTTTGTTAATATTGGGTGCACGCTGGCCTTGGATTTTAGAGAAGATCAAATCCAAAACAGACCCAGAAGAGCATTTCTCAATTTTCTTGTATGAATTTTCATCCTCTATTACTAGTACCCCGATGTGGCCAGTATTTTTAAGCGCTGTGCGACCATCGCCTACAACGAGTTCTGTGGTTCTGTAGTTCTTAAGAATTGCCACAGTGAAATAGCAAACATTTCTGGCTTCTTCTAATCTCCTTTGGCAACTCGGAGGGGTTATGGTAAGGTACTGTCAGAAATCACTAAATTAAAAGTCAAGCGAAGAGACTAGCGCTATTTCTGACGGGGAAAACGTGGCCTTAGAAAATTGCAAAGTTGCGATGTTTCAAAGCACACATTAATATCTATAGTATGACCAAAATTAACATTGAAAATAGGCCCCCGTAAATTACAATATTTTAAAGGTATCATCAATGCAAAAAAGAATTTGAAATGTAAAGAGGATCATATGTCTGTGATAGCAGATATAGCTTATCAAAGTACGTAGGTCCTGCTATGCTATTATTATAGGAAATATCCGAGGAAATAATCCTACGTAAATTTCATTGGATATTTGGAAAAATACTAATCTGATTACGACCTTTTTGGAGTTTGATACCTACAAAAGGACCCCAAAAACGTCAAAATCGGATAAGTATTTTTCGAGATATTCAAGAAAATCTACGTAGGGATATTTTCTCAAATATTTCCTTATGCATAGCATAGCAGGACCTACGTACTTTGATAAGCTATATCTGCTATCACAAACATACGATCCTCTTTACATTTAAAATTTTTTTTGCAATGATGATACCTACCTTTAAAATATTGAAATTTAGTTGAAATTTACGGAGGCCTATTTTCAATGTCAATTATTGTGTCTCTTTCTTTGTTATTTGTTAAAAAACGCAAATCAAAGTTTAGGGTAATCTTTTTCTATTCTCGTACATTAAATGGTTATTCAAGGCGTAAATAAAGTTTTTGCATAGGGATGTACATATTGGTTCAATGCATTTGTCAATGATCTAATAATTAGATACTAATAATAAGAGTGAAATTATAATTTGTGGTGCAACTTATGACGTGAAATGAAGGTGACCTGATTATGATGTTATGATAATAATATGAATATACCATATACCTAGTGTTGATATCAAACTGCACTACACTATCATTTGGACCTACAATAAATTGAATTCAACAAAGCAGCTATTTTCCAACTTACATGGTTCGACTCAAATATTTTGGAAATATATTGACATAATTATCACTAGGTACATAATTTTTCGTAATATAATCTTCGTATTTTATTTCTTTGTCTGAGAAATTTTAAATAATGTAGGTACTGGCCAAGAGCACAAATATTGCATATTCTTCACATACTATTATCCTATTATAGATAATAATAATAATAATAATAATAATAATAATAATAATTATTATTATTATTATTATTATTATTATAGGTGAGACTTTCAAAAAACGGGATTTAGGTACTTATAGATTGGAAATTCGATTATGTTCTTCTATGGCTTTTTTGTGCCTACTTAGCAATTCTGAAATAATTTATTTCATATTTTTGAATTACACGGAGATGAGATACTTATTCAAATTGTTTTGTTTCTAAGTCCCTGTCGACAAACTGTCGAGGTTAACGTTAAAGTTAGACTTTTGCCAAGTAATACTTACAGTTAATTGATCGACAAATTTCTAGTCTAGTCGAAGAAATAAACTACCAAATTACTTATAAAAAAAATCACTTCCTATACCAATAGAGCACTAACAACTAGAACTGGTCATTGTTCCTTTCAAACTAGAACTATCAATTGATCAATTAAAAAAATCATAGACTGATCGTGATAAAACTTTGGAACAATCAAGCAATCTAGAACACCAATATCAAATTCTGCCTTTTCAAGATAAAAAAACCACAATGTGAACGGGTATTGACACATTTTATAGATTTTGTTCGAAAACTTATCTTTAAAGCGAAATAATTGTTTAATAATTTGATTTGACGTTTATCTGATTTATAAGTTTATACAGCATAAAACCAAGATCTACAAAGGAAATTCTCCTACATTTGAAATTAATAATTACAAAAATTATAACGCTAATTGGATATGATTTATTTTTATTGACATATAAAATTTCATGAAAGAGTGAGACACTAGGTTTATGTCTGGCTGTATAATACAATGTTGTTTTATTGGTAATGCAAAAGCTTTTATTTTTATACTGCAGTTGAGCTTAAAAATGGGTCAATTTTTTTTATCGTTTATGAGTGTTCTATGATCTATAAGCTTCACTTACGTTGAAACTAATATAAATGAACAATGAAATCACAAGAAATAAGAAGACTTTCAACAAAATGAGGAAAGTATTGACAAGCCGTCACGTAACATTAAATACCAAGATCAGACTTTTTCGACTTTATGTGTTTTCCGTCTCGTCTTATGGAGTGATAATTCGAAAGCTCCAATACTACAAATAATGAGGAACGAGGGCAGATTTCATTTACTACAGTCTACCTGGCAAGGAAAAAATGGAAGGAGAACAAAGTGCTAGTAGAAAAAGAATTTCATGGTTGAAAAACCTCAGAACCTGGTTTGGTATGGATACTACTGAGCCATTTTGGACAACAGTAGATAAAGTCAAAACAGCATGCATAGCCAACATCCTAAACGGATAGGAAATTTTAGAAGAAGAGTCAATAGGTTCGGTACCCTATTTTATTACTTTGTTGATTGTAGAGTGTTGTCACGGATTTCGGATCCACTAAAACTCACTTTACAAACAGTAACAACTTTTATTGAACAAATTGTTTACAAAAATTAATTTAAGAGTTATCGAAACGTACACAACAAATCTCGTATTCAAACTGACTACAACAACACTCTCATTTAAACTGACTAATTTGGAATCGGGTCAGGCTCTTGATGCAATTTCGTCACACTGATGCCTCCCTCTCAAATTAGATCTATTTCAATGTGCACCGACTTCTCTGTAGGTTTATACTCCACTCAGATTCATAATGTTTGCACCTATAAATTTGCTTAACATCTCTATATCTGTCAGTGTGGACTGAGACCTGAACGCCACGCCCTAGACCGCTCGGTCATCCTGACTTTCCAGATCTATCCTCACGATTGCGTGGCTCTTCTCTCCTTGGACTGACGTCACGGGTACTGGAAGAATGGCTACCTGTTCCCTGTTGGCTGCAATGCTGCTAGCCGCCTTGACTGCGCATTCGCGGATTGTCGTTCTTTCGTCGGAATTCGTAGAGCGGCTTTTTGAAGGATAATTTGGACCTTCTGGATTAGCAGTCATATTACAGCAATCTACTTGTTCTTGATTTTACTTGCCGGATTTTTTTTTTCTACATTTTACCAGAAACCATTTCACAGAAATTACTTCCTAGCTGTTCGGAACTTTGTTCTCCACCCGCATTCAATCGATTGCTTCTAACAGGAACTCTTTCACGTGGATCAGTTCTGAGGCAGTTCTTGCTTTGTTCTGGGCATGCTCGGCTAGATAAGGAATCTGCGGTTCTATGCAGCTCATTGGAACAATGTTTGTTCTGTTGCAAGTTCTCAATCGAACACTGAGAGTCATTAGGAGAGCGAGATCTCAGTTTTACTCTACAGTTAAGTTTAAAATGTCCCCTTCGTCCGCAGCGGTAACATTCGGAGCCCTCGTTCAAGTTGCCCAATGAAGGCTGAGACTCATTAAAAGAAAATCGATCTCAATCGTCCTCTACAATCACGTTTAAAGGGGGTGTGACCCAAAAATGAAAGTTTTAGTGCAAAAAAATCTAAGAATAAATATTTAAACCGCATGTTGCTACGATGGTCCGTTTTCGAGTTAGGGCCGTTTAAAGTTACAACTAGGCTTTTGTGACGTCACGCTGGATTATCAGGGACAGTATTAACACGTGTAAAAATCTTCCAAAACAGAAGACAATTATCTCTTGGAGCAAATTGCAACCACTCAAAGTATAGGGTACGGTTCACTGACGACTAAACAAACAGAAGGCAGCGATTTCGGCGGTTGTGACATCACAAATTCCTGCATAATTTATCTTCACAAGGAGTTTTCTCGGAAACTATTTTGAATATAGGACTGCGGTTTTCACGAGAGATCTTAGAATTTTTTTTCTTGATTTAAGTAGCTTAAGTCGTTTTTTTGGGTTACACCCCCTTTAAAATGTCCTTTTCTTTCATAACGGAATCTTTCAATAACACCTTTCAAGTTTTCCTGTTTAAACAGCCTTCTAGAAGTTCCTTCAACGAATCTTTAATAACTTCTCCTATTGGTTCTTCAATTTTTCGTATTGAGATTGAGACAGCTCTGATCTTTGCTTCAGAGATCTTATAAGCCGCCTCAACTTATAGGGCTTTGACTAAAGCTTCTCTGCTAATTGATGGTTTGGTTATGAGCAGTATTTTCTATACATCCATATCTTTAATTCCATAAAAGACATACTTGGTCGCTAGTAGTTGTCGCATCTCTGCTGCTGCTTCCGGATAGGCCAAATTAACTAGGCGGAGTATACCAGTCCAAGAGTCGAACAATCTTTTATTAAAATAGGTATGGATGCATAAGATAAGAAGGATCTCATGTTGAGTCGACATAAAAAATTATTTAATAAAAAACCATTAATACACAAAAACAGATTTTTCTCGAAACCAGCTCATTTTTTTGACATCGAATAAGAGTACCTTTTTTCTAGTTCAAGGTTGAAACAATCTAAAAATATTATCGCTATGCCTATATCATACAGGGTGTAAAAAAAATTAGCATTATTGTGTTAGTGCTAGTCCGTCCCTGGTAAACTAGATTGGTCAAGTGTGTTTGAAAGGGTCCATTTTAAGAGGTCTTATCTAGTATCCATCATATTAAAATTTAAAAAAATTACACGAAGTATTCTGAAAGTTATCAACAAAAAACCGATTTTCAGAGGCGTCCTTCAGGGGCACGTAACTTCGTAGGGGGGGCCGTAGGATTTTTTTTTTATAGGAAGTTGTCATGTTATTTTTTTGTGTTCTATCTGAATCCGAGAGATTGCCCACATATTCTGGGACACCCTGTATATTAATAGGTCATTGGAAAGCTCTGCTTTTGCTGATTTTAATTATATGAAGTTCGATAGGTTTATCTCTAACAGTTTTCGAGAAAAAAAATTATTTAGGTCATTTCTCATTTTCCTTACAGATATAAAGTCGTTTTCTAACACATTGCTTCTTATGACAAAAACCGAAATTTTTTTTCTCTAACAATAAACCTATCGAACTTTACATAACTAAAATCAGCAAAAGCAGAGCTTTCTAATGACCTATTATTATATAGGGTGTCCTATTGAAAAAAACCGGACTTTGGTCAATATCTCGAAGTTGAGACCAATTAGAAAAAAACTGAGAACGTCACTGAATTCGACTTGAAAAAGTGCTTCAAGAAAGTCTTCACGGAAATCAATTATTTTCATAAACAAAAAAGTTAAGAAGGTTTCACAGTATTGCTCAAAATCGAGAATCGCCCTCTAGCGGCTAAACGGTTGAAGATATCGAAATGCGGTTTGCACCAATCAAGATTTCATGAAATTTGAGCCTCAGAGTGGCGGGTTCATTTTTTTGTATCTGGCTCAGAAATTGACGTTTCCTATTAAAAGTGTCCAAATTGGCCCACCCTGTACATTGCCCACGATGTCTGACCGTCGTATGGTAGTAGTTTAACTTCAATTCCATTGCCGGACTAGGAGAGGCTGAGACATTTCCTGACCTCAAGTCATACAATGTACAACCTGGGAGATTTTTTCCCTTGAAAATAGAAAAAAATAATACCTATTCATGTGATTCCAGCACGCACTGGCGCCGACTACATGGGGGCATTGGGGCAGGTGCACCCATGAGCAACCTCCCATGAGCTCTTGTGAGGAACGCGGAAGTACAAACGTATATGATGATCATTCCATTCCGTGGGGTAATATCGGTATCGTGTAACTTAAATTGAAAACTACCCAGAATGGCCCGAAATTTTGAACCTCTGAGATATTTGGGGTGATCACAGAAACGTCGAGTAAGCGGCCGCTTAAGATGACTTCGGCCAGAGAGGATCGGCTCTTGGTGTAGAGGACCTGCGCCTTTTCGAAGAGGGATTGGCGAGGACCCCGACCAGTGAAAGTTCTGCCGTAGTTTGAGAGCTTTTTACGAGCCGCGGCGCCTGAAGGACCCGCGCCGAGAGGGTAATTTCTCTACCCCTTTTCCGAGATTTGACCCCGAATCGCTCGGAAGTCCAGCTTTCCAAGGCTGAATCGAATTGCTGGTCACTTCCGGTCAGGGTCTTTTGAAGAAGAGTTTCCTAATGACGTTTGCCGTTGTCGTTGGAATTGGGGTTGAGGTGGCCGCGGAGGGAAGCCAGCTGCACAAGAATGCTGGTCATGCCTCCCGGTTTTCGGTTCGGAGTTGTCACTCCCGCCTGACCGACGTTAGGTTCGTCGGTGAGGTCGATGACCAGAAGGGGAGGTGGCATCAGTGAGGCAGGTGGGGGGTTGGTAGGTGATGCGGGGTGCCGGGTGGTCATCTATGAATGTCATTTGGATGCCTGATGGATTGGACTATTAGAGTCATCCCCGGAAGACTTTGGTCTCGGTCTTTTCTGGGTGGAGATGGTGGGGATTTCGAGACGCACAACTCTGTTTTTTGTCCTGCCTGGGCTCTTATCCTTAGCTACAGGCGTGCTAGGTTCAGGCGTTCAGGGGTGGTTGCGCTGGTGACTTCTGCGCTATCGTCTCCCGTTCGATGGGGTCCAGAAGACCGAATCGTCAGGGAACGAGGGTGGGTCGTCCTGGGTCGATCTGGGGGAGAATTTTTGATGGACCAGGAGTTTGCGAGTAATATCATGTAATTTAAATTTACATAGTTTGCGCCTGCAGCAACTTTCC